AGAGGTGAGAGTGTGGAGCCTCTGAGTGTGAGCTGGCCGTTCCGCAATCATGAGTGGAAGGCTGGCAGGAGAGGATCAAGAGTGCCTTGGGATGCCTGAGACCTGAATATTTTTGCCAGTCATGGAAAGGTACATCTCAAAGAGGAAAACTGGCATTGGAAGGAAGAGAGACTAGCTGGAGAAACAGCCTGGAATTCATAGCACAAATGGTAGTATTTACAATCCTTTTGCATTTAGGAAAAGAAAGGGTGAAATTTCTCAGCTGTAATGCCATAAAGGAGCACAGTTGAAGAAGCTCAGATTAGCTGGGTGTGGTAGGCATGCCTGTAATAATATCAGCAACTTAGGAGACTGAGGCAGGTGGATTACAAGTTCAAAGCCAGCCTCAACAACTTAGGCCCTAAGCAACTTAGCGAGACCCTGTCTCAAAATAAAAAAATAAAAAGGGCTGGGGATGTGACTCAGTAGTTTAGCACCCCTGGGTTTAATCCCCAGTACAAAAAAAAAAAAAAAAAAAGCAGCAGCAGCTCAGATCAGGTCTTCTCTATAAAGTGGTTAGTGCTGCCATCAACTAAGGAGGTTGACAAAAGCTAAGAAAAGGTAGTAATTTGGACTGGCCATATGGGACCAAGGGATAAGGATAAAAAATGGCACAGCCAAGGCTAAGGGGCACATGACCAGTCACCTTTATTCCATTCTCTAACTGGTGCTGATCTCATGCCCAGCAGGGGCATGAGTGGTCCTGGGGGCCATCCAGGCCCAGCATTGGACAACAGAGTAACCTTCATGCCATCACAGAAAAGCTCAGCAGGGGATCAGAGTCCTGGAGGGCAGTGAGAAAAAAGGAAAGTAGATGCAAATCAACTGTACAGGCTTTACCAGGCAGGTCAGCAGAGAAAGACATGGAAGGTTAACCTTTTTCTTTTTCTTTTTTTTTTTTAACTTTCACCTATTTTATTTAGGTTTTCATTTTTTTCAAATTCCAACCAGAAGCTAAATACAATTGGAAATGGTAAGCACTAGTTTTACTCCAAAGGAGTAGGATCATTCAGATTTACTCCAATAAAAGTATGCAACCCTTAAGCAAAGCTTTTCTTCATTTAAAAGAAAAAAAAAACAAAGGAAAAAAAAAACCAAAAAACTATACAGTAGTCTTTCCTCATGTTCATTGCACAAAATGAGTTCTACTAGAATTTTGACACTCTGGTCATTTTTACAATTTTAAATCCCAACTTTAAAAAATGTTTTCCTATTCCAAAAATCCCGCATAACTTTTTTCTTTAGGATGGTGTAGAAACCAGTATTTCTGCACAATTTATTGGAATTTTCTTTGTAATTAAAATCTCTTCTCTTTAACACCAAAAAACAAAACAAAAACCAAAAGTAAAGTCCTCTCTACCTATCACGGTTTCTGCAGCTATGAATGTATTTCTCAGTTTTATAGCTGCTTTTAGCTACTTCAGACTCCAGATCTGCTTTAATGAATATAAATGCATCCACACTCAGCAGAATACTTTTATAACAGCAACTTGGGGAAAGAGATCTGGAAAAAAAATACATGTATTTATGAGTACTAAGAAACATAAACATGGCCCAGTAAAATGAGGCAAGAATGCCTATAATGAGATGCTTTTTTCATTTAAGATTTCTTTCCCATGGTTGTACTTTAAACAACCACTTCTGGTCATTAGAATGAATCTGATAGTGCTCTGGAACAATGGTGATCATAGCAAAGCTATTAAGTTTTTTTCAATGTTACTTATACCTGTTACATTCATTTCTCACCCTCTCAATACTGATGACAGATGTCAAAGAGGCAAAACCAGCACAAATGGGAAGACCATCAAAAAAATGAGTATCACCTTGTGCTTTCAGATACATTTAAGCATGTCAGTGTACAACAGTCCTTCACTTCACATTTTTAGTAAGATGCTGATGCAGTGCAGCAAGTATGCAAAGCATCTTCTTTCACACAGTCCGTGCAGAAGACATCTAATTTTTTTTTTTAAGTTCTGAGATACAAATGATTAAAAAAAAAAAATCCAGGATGAACGAGTTTCAAAATGCATAGTGTTCTGTGCATGAGTCCATTTTCTTCAAACTCTGAAAAAATAAAGTGGTAAGAAAACAAGAAAAACAATTGCTGCTGCATTCTCTGATCTGGAAGGTTAACCTTTTTCTAATGAAAACTTTTAAGCACATAGGAATGAAAATGATGAGCCCACATACTCATCCACAAGATTAAACAATTCAAGGTTGACCATATGTCAGTGATGTGAGCAGGATGAGACAGAAGGGGATGAGGTACTAGAGGTTTTGTGACAGGAGCCATTACATGTAGACCCTTACCAATGGACAGGGACAAGGAATACATCAATTAAATAACAAATGATGACAGTGATGTGCAGTTTTCTGGTATTTTCTAAGTCAGTAAGGTGGAGGGATGGGACTTGAGAGATTTCAACAACAAAGATGGAAAGAATGATAGAACTGCCCTCAGGCCTGGTGTACTATGGAGGGAATTTGATAATGATGGCAAAGGTGGTGGGCTACAGGTGACCTACAGCAGAGGGCTGGTGGGAGGAAAGAATGCAATAATGCTCTCTCTGGTTCCTTAAGCAGGGAGAGAATGTTCATACTTGGAGAGGATTGCAAAGGACCCTATTTTACACAGTGGAAACCAGTTTTTTGGAGTTTGTGTGTGCATGCACCCATGCATACTAGTTTTTACCTACTTTGGAGAAAGCAAAGTGTGGTTAATGGAGGAAATTTTGTCTAAAAGGATGGGATTTCCATGAAGGCATGATGAAAAGGACAAACAGGGTGTTATGGGCCTCTGGGGAGTAATTCATAAAATTCCTAGGCAATTATGGAAAATAAGGAGCCACAAGAATGTTACTACATGTGTGTGCGTCTGGGCACCTTGAAGTCCTAATGATATAAACAGAAGCAGCAGTGGATTTTCAGATTCTGAAGACGCAGATTACAGGTTCTTTGTGAAGTAGCTTGTGCATTGATTCATATACTATGTATCCTTTGTATTTTAACTTTTCTGAGACAATCACAACTGAATTTTTAAAAAGGAATAAGAAACAAAGCAGTGTTCTGATTGATCTTTGGATAAATCTTGATATCAACACAGCCATTTTTGTTAATCCTATGTGGGATATACTTTATCTTTCATGAAGGGAATCTAAGAAAACAGAAGTTTTCTTTCTGATTAGGCCCTGCAATACTCTTCTGGAGAATATTTGTTCATAATTTTAGGCACTGTAGCCTCTATTGGTGTAGAGTACATTATCTCATACTGTTATACTCCTGGGATAATGCCTTTAGGTTTTTCCCAGTGGCTCAGGAGGCTGGGGCAGGAGCGTCACAAGTTCAAAGCCAGCCTCAGCAACTCTGTGAGACCCTATCTCTAAAAAAAATACAAAAAAGGGCTGGGGGACTGGGGTTGTGGCTCAGTGGTAGAGTGCTCACTTAGCATATGTGAGGCCCTGGGTTCGATCCTCAGCACCACATATAAATAAATAAAATAAAGCTATTGTGTCCACCTTCAACTAAATATATTTTTTTAAAAAGGACTGGGGATGTGGCTCAGTGCTTAAGCACCCCTGGTACAAAAAAAAAATTAAATAGAAACATAACACTTCATGCTTCTATATAAAGGTAACTTCTGAAAACATACAGATTTATAGATGAAAAGAACATTGGAGGGGGGGCTGGGGCTGTAGCTCAGTGGTAAAGCACTTGCCTTGCATATGTGAGGCACTGTGTTTGATCCTCATCACCACATAAAAATAAATAAAGATACTGTGTGTTTATCTACAACTAAATAAATATTTTTTAAAAATAATAAAAGAACATTGGAGGGCTAGGGTTGTAGCTCAGTGGTAGAGCACTTGCCTAGCATGGGTGAGGTACTGGGTTCAATTCTTAGCACCACATAAAAACAGAAAAATGTTAAATTTTTTTTAAAAAAAAATAACGTTGGAGGTGAAGGTAGTATTCATTTTAATTTGTAAAACAAACCAACATTTTTTAATGTTCCAGGGCCAGGCATCCCCATGCATTATTGAATCCTCACAGTAACTCCATCAAGCAGTGGTATAGCTATTTCCATTTTTAAAATGGGCATCAGAAATGTTGAGTGACTTTGCAAGTGTCTTGCACCAAGTGGCACAATCAGATTTCAGCTTGAGTCTTGACCAGGTGTTTACATTAACAGTGATTAGCCAGTGCCTAACAGTGATGCACTTGTGAGCCAGAACATTTGAAATGTAAAAACCAGCACTTAGACTTTATAGAATATTTCCTCACTGCTTAGAGCTCTTTGTCATTATATCATGAATCATTCATTTGTGGATGACAATGTCTAAATGCCACTTAATTTTCATATAGCACAAATTAAAAGCTAAAATAGATTTTTTTAAAGATTGCCAAGTCAAATGGAAAAACAGATGCTTTAATTTCTGCATTAAATGTTGAAGTTCTGTTGAGCATTTTCTTTCATTGGCTGCTTCAGAAGTCACATACCAGTTAAACCCCCAAATGAACTTTTGAGCTCATGGTCACTGCTCTTAAATTGCTGACTGGCATATTTGTAGCCATTACATCACTTCCCATTTTCTATCTTTATTTGGTTTTTAAATATTTATTCTGCTTAATTAAAAAAAATTGTCATTGAATAAAATGATCAGGCTTGGTCTCCTTTGTCTTCATTTATAGAACAATGAGGGAACCTTTGTGTCTTCACAAGTCAATAAGTGTTACTCTTTGTAGTAAAGAGTTAAAGTCAAGCCTGGTTAATATTTTTTGGTAAGCATATGAACTGAAATAGATTTCTGGGAAAGAGGAGGCATTTTATTAAGTGTATATGAATTCAAATGCATGTATTCATTATGTGTTGAGCATTCCCCACTACTGTCAGGACACAGTTCCCTGGCAGTTTGCCTTTTGAGCATGTTTTCCTCTTCTAATGATGATTATGTCCTCAAAAGGCTAGAGAGAGAAGAATTGAAAAGAAAAGCAGAGGAGGAAAGGCTGCGCCTAGAAGAAGAAGCCCGTAAGCAAGAGGAGGAAAAGAAATGGCAGGAAGAGGAAGAAAGAAGAAAGGCAGGAGAGGAGGCTAAGCAGAAGGCAGAGGAGGAGCTGTTGCTGAAAGAAAAGCAAGAAAAAGAAAAACAAGAAAAAGCCATGATTGAAAAGCAGGTACAGTCATCCTCAGATTTTCCTTTTTTTTTTTTAAGGGCCTTACTTAATATTAGGTAAATTTTATTAAATTTGAATTACTTGTAATAGTTACTTAAAGTTTTTTCTTAAATCATCTGGGCTAGTTATTAAATACAATTGAAGTTGGTAATATTTGCCATCTGTGAGTTTGGATTTTCACAAAGGCAGACCCAAGGATAAAATTTGGGGGCCAGTAGTTTATTTGGGAGGGGATCCCATGAAGCTGCTAGGGAAGAAAGTGGAAAGCCAATATGCAAGCACATCCATGAGTGGGTTACTATGGGCCCCTGGAACTTAGTGCTTTTGGGACCCTCTGAGAGACTGGGATCATGCATTAGAATTGTCCAGAGGATGAGGAAACTGGACAATTTATTTACTAATACTGCCCCTTTTGTGGAAGGTTTCTCCTTAGGAATAACTCCTGGAAATTTCTGGCTATATACACATTTCATGGCCAGAGCTTACCCATGGATAGAAAGACCTGGGCCATGTATGAAAACTAGCTTGCAGGTGATTTTCATGGTGGGATAAGGGTATATGAATGAGTCCCAACAGTATCTCCTCTATCATAGAGCAGGTTGTGTGAATTTACATTAAATATTGGTGCCTCATCCACTTTGGGGCAGATAATGGGGTAAAGGACTTCCACAAAGCCCAGGAATTTCTACAATGCTTTCTTAGTTTAATAAAGCCTGTGCTTTGGCTTACCTGTTGCTCTCAGAAAGAAGCAGCAGAAGCAAAGGCCCAGGAGGCAGCTAAACAGATGCGTCTAGAAAGAGAACAAATCATGCTGCAGATTGAGCAGGAGAGACTGGAGAGGAAGAAGGTAAGGCTTGGGGATCAGGAGGACTTAGGATGAGACAGGAACAGGAAGTTAATCCAGCTCTGTTCTGCAATGACTGGGTGCAGTGTTCTTAAAATTGTCAATTAGGTCAAGTTTCCTTGGTGGTGCTGTTCAAATCTTCTATAGCTTTATTAGTTTTCTGTCATCTAAAAATCTCCATCTGTGATTATGAATTTATTTACTTCTCCTTTTAGTTCTGTCAGTTTTGTTTTATATGTTTTAAAGCCCTATTTGTTAGTTGAATATTCACATTAGATTGTTAAATTTTCCTGTTGAATTGATCCCTTTACCATGAAATGCCCTTCTTAATTCTAGTATTATTTCTTCTTAAAGTCTGTTTTGGCAGCCCTATTATGATTGGTACCTGCATGGTAAATCTTTGCCATTTTTTTTTACTTTGAACCTATGTGTGTCCTTACAAGAATCTCTCTTATGAATAGCACATAGTCAGGACTTACTATTTTAATGCAGGGTATTAAAGACATTTTTTGCCTTTTAATTGGAGTGATTAGTCCATTTACACTTAATGTATTTATAGATAAAATTGGGTTTAAGGAGGCTGATTATAAAGTTCCAATCTCATGATATCCTAGGCCCAACCTGGGCTTTGTAATGCTATACCTACATCTAGGAGCTGGGAATCTATGGACATCTCTTCTGAACTAACCTTAGCTTCATTTTCTGGAGGGTGATCCTCTAGAATGGCAGATGGTGATATTTTTTTTAATTTATAGGGAACCAAAGGAGAGAAAGGAGAAAGATAGGATATAGATTATTGATCCTGGATATGTACTAGTCTGCTTCATTTGACCTTGTTTGTAGAGCCAGAGAAAACCATCTACAAAAACAATGGAAAACCTTTCCATGCTTTTTATCCTCTGCTGACATTTGTCTTTTACCAGTCTTCTCAGAAATGTGAAATTGCATTTAGACCCAACTACTATTTTATATTTTTGGTATTATGGTTCTCTCGCCTGTTTTGTTTACAGAGAATAGATGAAATCATGAAGAGAACAAGGAAGAGTGATGTGTCTCCAGAAGTGAAGGTAGGAATTCAGATGACTATTATGTAACCAGCAGGAAAGAACTGCAGAAAATATTCAGTGAAGTTGTAGGTCTCAGAGAAAATTAGCCAGGAAAAAAAAAATGGACTCTCCATGCTCTGTTTCTGGCCAGGTTAAAGAGGAAATAGGATCTTGAAAGGAAGGAGGAATTTCAGAGATGGAGCAGCTAAAAGATTTTCTCAGCCGGTGCGGTGACACATACCTGTAATCCCAGCGGCTCAGGAGGCTGAGGCAGGAGGATCATGAGTTCAGAGCCAGCTTCAGCAAAAAGCAAGGCGCTGAGCAATTCAGTGAGACCCTGTCTCTAAATAAAATACAAAAAATAACTGGGGATGTGGCTCAGTGTTTGAGTGGCCCTGAGTTCAATCCCTGGTACCAAAAAAAAAAAAAAAAAAGATTTTCTGAAAGTGGTGGGGTTGGGGTGCAAGGAGAGTCACAGTAGTGCACGAATACAAAAAGAATGGTGATAAGGGAAACAGCTGAAAATTCAAAGAAATATCATGGAACAGGCAGATGGCCCAGCAGGGCTCCAGATTTCTCCTGGTGGTTTTAAAAAGCATTTATTTTCCTGTGTAATGTCAGCCTTCCCTCTTTTCATCTACTCTCTTTTTGTTTTCAGAAAGAAGACTCAAAAGTGGAGATTCAGCCTGTTCTATGTGTGGAAAATAAGACAAAACCAGTTGTCCCCAACAAAATAGGTGAGTGTGAGGTCTGGTGCTTGTGTTTTTTCCTTTAATAGTGGGAGTCCATAAAGCTTCCTGTGAAGGAGGGGCACATGTAGGTCCCAGAGCTGTGGCTGACAGCAGATTTTCTTCCTGGAGCATCTCTAAAGCCCAGGGACTATTGACTGTATTTGGAAAACCGCTGGCTTCCTTGTTTAATCTTGGCACAGAAAGCACACTGTCTTACTGGCCCAGGATGCTTTCCAGGGAGCCTAACTACTGGTCATATGTTATTAAGATCTGGTCTTGCTCTTCTACCAAGGCCCTGCAATAATGCTGTGTGTCATCTCTTCCCCCATGTGAAGGTGATTACATGGGGTTGTTGGTGGTTCTTTCCACAGAAGATGTTGCATCAGTAGTGAAGCAGAGGATTAAATTAATTACCTTTTTATGTATTTCCTGTAATTTCGTTTTGTATATTTTATGATTCACGAAAGGACTTTGTTCTTGATCAGAAATCAATGGATTGAACACCTGCCAGGAGGTTAATGCTATGGGGCACGCTGCCCCAGAAACTTTTCCACGAGATGTTTTTTCTAATGGGCTTAAACCAGTTGGGGCATTTGTTCATCTGGATGCCCTTGATGGGAAATCAAATAGTCTGGATGATTCAACCGAAGAAGTTCAGTCTATGGATGTGAGGTATGTCAATTTCTTTTACATATACACTTCATCTCTTTTCCAAACACCACCACTGTCTTTTAGTTTGTTTCTCCATCTTTTATACAATACAATAACCTAAATCAGATCTGGTTGACATTATAGGAAAGCTATCAATGATATAATACTATTATCTCAAACTAGGCTCCCTAGAAGCAGAGCCTGGGCATGTGATTTAGTAGGGGAGGATTCTCAGGAGGAGTGGGCAGAAGGGAAGGCACTAAGTAAGGATGTGTTCTCAGACAGTAGCATAGGAGCTTTGCAGGATGAATTTCCATCAGAGAGTTGTTCAGTTGAGATAAGGAATATGGTATTTGTACCACTGTATCCATCAGTTATTTACTGTGGGTTTCTTGGCTAGGGGATACAGGACCATGATCATGGGGGTGCCTGTCAGCTAAAGGAAGTTGTCCAGAGAAATAGTGGCAATTTTGAGTGTTTAGGAGCCAGCCCTCTGTGTCTGGGGGGATAGATGCACCTATAGGTAAAGGGGACCTTGCCAGGATCAACAAGATTCCCTGTGTCCAGAGTGATGTATCTCCACAAGTAAACTTGTCATTGCAGACTTGATAAAGGAACTAAATTGCTTTCAGATCCTAAAAATCTAAGGAATTCATAAACTGGTATCATTTTTGTAGATGACATCATCTGGCAAATTAATCCCAGATAAAAGAATCTATTGGTATGAGATTGAGGCAGAGGCATTGGAGTGGACAACTTTTGGTAGGGTAGTTGGAGTAAGGGTTGACTCTTTGTATTAGGAGAGTGTGACAATATTTTTTAAAAGCACTACCAGAGCTCCAACCTGCCAGTTTACCTTCTGTCCTTGACCGTAAGTTCTCTGCTTAGTCTGGAGTGGGGTTCCTGTAACACTGATCGTCAATATTCCACTCATCCTCACAGGGCTCAAGCTAGATATGTGAAATCCAGGACATCATCAGTAGAGAAAATCTGTAGAATGGTAGCGGGACCCCTCAGTCCTCGCCTGGGTCTTCCCATCCCTCCCCACCATCATGGCAGGCTTCTCCTAGTTAGTGCCACTCTGTCCCCAGCAGAAAACAACTAAGGCAATCTGAAGGGTTAACCCAACATATTCCACCCACATATTGAGCCAACTGTGTTTATTCTTTAATGTCTTGTTAGGGGAGGAAAGGGAACAAGATGTGGCACCTCTGACCAGAGTTCAAGAAAGTAAAGGGGCTTATCATACTATGTTCTCACTTAGAGAGTTATGTGATCTTGGTGGATACACCCGAACTTGTGGTATCATTTTCTCCTCTTTTCTCTGAGCAGTTTAAATGCAGGGGATGGAGGTGGGGAAAGATGAAGATGAAGCAGGATGTTTCTGTTTAATGAGGCAGTTTTCCCAGACTTCAAACACCAGGGGTGGTTGTAGGTCAGCTGTTGCCCCTTAACCGGGCTCAGGTGTGAGGGAGGTGGCTCCACTGAGCTTCTGCAGTTCAACTGGTTTTTTCTTGATTCATCTGTAAGATCTCATCAAGGAAGCAAAGAAGAGCCTGGCAGCAACCTTACTATGTCTATTAAAGGACTCCTGGGACAAATCCTCAATTCCCAGCCCACCACTCTTCTGGGCCTGGATTTGCTCCTTTGCTAGGCCTATAGCAGACAGCAGTAGTGCAACTCCTTCCATATCTAGGAAGAGAGGGAGGAGGTGGGTGGGGGGTTCAGCTGAGCAAACTGATTAAGTCAGGATTTAGAAAAGAAGCAGTGAGATTGATTCGGCAGGTGACTAGATGGATGCACCCCAACCCCTTGAGCACACACCACATCACATGGTTCTCCATGAACTCTTCCCAACACAGTCACATTCATATTCATGGGAACCCTGAGAGGGAGAGATTACTGTTCTTCCCATTTTATAGGGGTGGAAACTAAATCCAGGGAAGGAAAAGCAGCTTGCCCAGGGCAGCACTGCTAGAAAGGCAGCACAAGGAGCCCCAGTGTTAATTAGAGCCCTTCCTTAGTTCACTTTTGGTATTTGCTTTCTGTTTGTTCTATTCTGAAAGTTCTGGAAGGACCTTGCTACTCTGTAGTAAAGTGTCAGTGCCTGTAGGTTTTTTCCTTTCACTCCTTGGGCAGCATAAGCTTGGCCTGCACATCTTATTTGGTCTACTTCCCTTGTTCTCATCCACAGAGGCCTGTGCCTACCCACTTCTCAGACTTGAACTTGTGTATTTTTTTATGATGTGTTACACATAAACTGTCTCTACATTTATCTTTTCTACAAGAGTGTAATAAAATATTACAAATAGAATGAAGCACATTAACATAGTGTGCTTAGTTCTCATGTTCTCTCTCCTCTCCCTCCATCTGTCTCTCCCTATCTCTCCTTCATCTCTTCTAGTCCTGTTTCCAAAGAAGAACTTATCTCCATCCCAGAATTTTCACCAGTGAGTGAAATGATTCCTGGGATGTCTCTGGACCAAAATGGAACTGGTAATGCCCGAGCACTTCAAGATCTCTTAGATTTCACTGGTCCCCCGTTCCCCAAGAGATCCAGTGAAAATCTCAGCCTGGATGACTGTAACAAAAACCTTATTGAAGGATTTAACAGTCCTGGCCAAGAAACTACTCTGAACTCCTTCTGTTGACAAATACAACATCCCTTTAATGAAAGGTACAGTCTTTTGATGATACTCTAAATCCTTACCTTCCTAACTAGAGTGTGTGAAGATAGGATAAACATCACTCAGCCTTCTGGATGACTAATTTTATTTGAAAAATACAAACACAAATATGGTATATACTATAGCATATATAAAAAATGCTATGAAATTCAAGGAATTTCTTCCTGTGGGAGCCTCCAGTGCCATGCCTTGCCTGATTCATAGACCCTATTGTTCTGGGGAGTAAGTGGGAAGGGAAGGTTTGATTGCCAATTGTTTCAAGTAGCACCTTCTTCAGAGGTAAGGAGAAAATGCTCTTAAAATATTACAAGGTGGTAAAATGAACTTCTCTTCCTTCATCATTCATATACATTGATGAGTGTTAGGCCAAATGCTTGGCTCTTCTCTAGACCCTTTCTGGATTCTTCCAAAACAGAGACATCTGTTCCTAGATCATACCTGAGGGAGTAAGAGGAAAGAGCTACAGGTTGTGCACTGAAAGTTTTTCCCCTACCCTTGACTTTTTTTCTTGTCAAAGCACTCTAGAGGCTCTTTTCTTTCTTTCTTTTCTTTTCTTTTTTTTTTTGTGTGTGTGTGTGTTTGTGTGTGTGCCACAGATTAAACCCAGGGTCACCGAACTATACCCTAACCCCTCTCATTTGGGTAGGAATATACTTAGATACACACATTTCATTTTTGATTTACTTAAATTTGGGACTTATTTGTTTTGAATAATGAAAACAAAATACGATCTAGCACCAAATCCTTTCACAACTTAATTCGTATCACACCTCCTGCTATTTTTTCCCTTTTTTTTTTTTGGTGTGTATGTAGTACTGGAGATTGAACATATTAGGCAACCAATTTTAGCTCAAATGTTTTTATATTCTCTGCATTCTGTCACTTTATTTTCTTTGATGGTCCACTCCTGTAACATAATTTGATGTCTAAAATGATTTGGTCCAACCTTTTTATTTTTCCCATCCAAGTACTAATCAGGCTCTACCCCACTTAGCTTCCAAGATCAGATGAGACAGGGCGTGTTCGGAGTGGTGTACCATAGACTTCTTGTTATTTCTGAAATGAGGTAACAGGTTGGGGAAGCCACATGGCTGAGGTCATTGTATTTTGTTTGCTTATTTCCACCTGACCTCAGCTCTTGCCTGTAGATAAGAACTTTAGGGTCCCTGCCTCTTGATTCTTGGAAAAGCAGCTGCAGTCATTTGACACATGATATGAGGTGATTGACAGGTCATTTCTCTTTATACTTATATATTTTTTAGTTGTAGATAGACACAATACTTTTATTTTATTTAGTTTTATGTGATGCTGAGGATTGAACCCAGCGCTTCACATTTGTGAGGCAAGCACTCTACCGCTGAGCTCCAACCCCATACTGACAGATCACTTCTAGAGTAAACTATGTTCCTAGTTTGGAGAAGAAGCTGCTTTCTTGGACCCTTAAAACACTAATTTCACCTGAACATTGTTTCCTTGACAGTTTCACGGCTTAGTATTTATTAAGAGGCTTCTTTTGTCATTAGCATACCTTGACTTTAATAAGCTTTTCTTAAGTTGGTTTACCTCACTGTCCAGTAAAGAACAGAAAATCCACAAAACATCTGAAGGTTTTAGGACACTCTCACATAAGGAAAATTTGACCAACCTAAAAAAATTGTCCTGTGCAAAATGCAGCAGTATTTCTTCTGAGAAATACTGAATGAGCCAAGGAAAACCTAAACCTAATTACCAAGTGCAACATACTTGGTTTCTGCATTGGTCTCACCTGGCTTTGTTTTTGAATTGATACAGGTGGTGTTTGGAAAACCTGTGAAGTTCCCGGTAGTCAAATCAGCTGCCGGTCATCTGAAGAAGCTTCTGTCACCCTTTACGCTGGATTCCAAATTACTAGATCAGAATGTAACTGTATTCCTAGGTAGTCAAACCCTGGCCTCTCATGGTAGAAACCTAGAGGCTTTTGCCTTGTTGGGCTTTAGCGATGTTTCATTTTACAGTTCTATTTATGAGCTTCAGCTGCTGCTAAAACACTTCCTGTCCTTCTGTATTATCATAGTGATCCTCTGAATAACCTGAATGATGCTGGTTCAGAAGTTCATTCCATGACCAGTCTCATGCCCAGAGTTGGAGCACATATTATACATTTAGATGTCTCCTCTTGTAAAATATTCTAGACATTTACCCAAACTCTAGTTAAAACATGTATTCAGCTTGGGCTGCATATCTCCCTTTGTTTATAAGGAAAAGAAATTCTGGAGTTTTCTCCCCCTCTGGGGTTTCTCTGTTTGAAAGTACTATGAAGAAGTCTTTTTTATCAATAAGCTTTGCCACCTGCATTGCCCTACATTATACTCTTTTGGGGGTTAATGTAATAAGTGTGTTTGAGTAAGGAAGCATTAAATGGTCCGTAATAATTTCTGTTGTCTTATGCATATTTGTTTGTACATGGACATCTTTGATGTCATACCTTAAAATCTCCAAACTGTAGTCACTCCAAACCATGAGTGACTTTCCAACTAAATTATGCATCTCATGTACAGGTGGTTGGTTTTCATGTTTTTGCTATTGTTTTTGTATTGTATCTTGGGAGTTTTCTCGGTTTGCTCCTGTGTTTGCCCAACTATGATAAATCCAGGCACAAATAAAAATCATAATGCTCTGAAATAAGGGGGCCTCCAATTGATCCCAGGACATCACTGTAATAGACTTTAACATGAAAAAATCTGAATGGGAAAAATGACACTAGAATGTAACGCCACACATTTTATGCCATATAATGCTGTGTTTTCTTAATTTTATTTCTTGTGGAAAAATGTGACTCAGATTAAAATGACCTTTTCTTCTTTGAAACTTTATTTTGACTTGTACAATAAGAGGTTTGGAAAGATTTATAATTCTGAGAGAGGTTTGCAATCAGGAGACATAAAGATATCTCAATAGCAATCGTATTCATGTGCTTTTAAAGCTAGCTACAGTTTAAGAGTTTATTAGTTATGGAAACTGTGTATGTTTGTGTATGTGTATATACTAAATAAAATACATGCCTCTAATAATGCAGTTCTATTGATCTTGATGAATACCAGGGCGAAAATCCCTTTTATGACAAGCACACAGAAAATGATAGCATGGTCTGACTTTCAAAAAATGCCTAGCCATCTTTCTTACAACTTTATTTTGCTAGAAATCTATGCAGTTGTGATCTGTTGTACCTCACAGAACCATTGTGACTGGTAATGCCTCATGTGCATGATGTGAACATTCTGTTTAATGTGAAATACATTTTCATCGAAGAGTCTGGTGGCCTGCTAGTGTTTTGTTTGTATAAGCCCAATGAAGAAATTTGCTGAAATCAAACCAGGTTTTCTAAACCCATGCAACCATGTGGGAAAAAACCGAAATCCTACATGGATGTCCTTTCCTTGTCCAACTTATTAGAAAATCTTTTGCTGTCAATGCCAAGTGAAGCCAACTGTGGAAATAAATTTAAGTGATAGCCTGTTCCTAGAACATGATGAACTTCTGAGTAATGTTGCTGTGCTTTCATCCAAACACTGTGATGCCAGGCATTTCTAGTTAACTAAGACAGTTAAATTTGGTATTATCTATTATATGAGTACTTCACTTAGCAATTGGCACTTAAACAAAATTACAGTGGGAATGTTGACTCTTATGTGTTGGAGGGGTACTAATGATTGAACCCAGAGGTGTCTTTGACTGAGGTACATCCCAGCCTTTTTTTTTTTTTTTTCTCGCTAACTTGTCCATGCTAGCCTCAAACTTGTGAGTTGCTGGGGTTACAGCTTGACTGTTATTTTCAAGGAATCCAGACCAGATTTTCTTATCTAATTCACAGGCTCATTCACTATCTGGGAGACAGCATCAATCTAGACCAGGAGCTAGGTAGACAGGAACTACAATTAGAAACTCTCATGGTAACTTGGGTGCCATCTCTGAAGCTGAGGGTTCAGTATGCTAATAGAGCTTCTAGTCAGGGCACAGGAGAAGACACTTAACTAATTTCATTTTCAGGCTTCTGACAGCATTAGAAGTAGTTTATGTCAGGAGTTCTTGCCCTAGGGCCTACAGTGGTTGTGTAAATGCAATTGCTACTTTGTGAACATTGTAAATTTTTTTCTTAGTAAATACAAGTTTGCTATTAGCCAAATACTTTCATAAACTGGATTTAGAAAGCAAACATGATGTAAAAAACTAGTTTCCAGAGTTCCATTTTGTTAGGGCATATAACAGAGGTTGACTTAACATTCCTACTCATTTTTAGGAAGCATGATTATGAAACAAAGTGAAGAACTCTTAGAAGCCAGAAATCTTTACAGATACTCCCTTTCCCCCAAGGAAACCAAGAGAAATAACTGAAAAACTCATTGAATAATTATATAGGGAGGCAAGTATTAAAAATCAATAGTTTTCTTATCCATTAGCAATAAACAGGAAATAGATCCCAACAAAACCCATAAAATTCCTAGAAATAACAAACAATACTGAAATTTGACCAGGCAATGTGATAATAGATAGAAATAAGATCTATGCATGTAAAGAAGGCTAATAGTGACACAACTGTCCAGTCGATTTTTTTTTTTTTTTTTGCAGCTTGAAAATAGAATTGCAGTTCATTTAAGAAAACTAACAAAGCCAAGAAATTTATGAGTTTTTTTTAAAGGGGAGAATTTCCTCAGCAAATAGTAAAAATACATAATTCTTATGTAACTTAAACAGTGAAGTCTGACAGAGAAATAGAATTTAGAATAGCAGGAGAGTTAAGAAATATTCAAGATACATAAGAATTTAATGCCTAGAGAACCTACAGGTTGACCATTTGTTTTTTTTTGTTTTGTTTTTAAAGAAAGAGTGAGAGAGAGGGAGAGAGTGGGAGAGAGAGAGAGAGAGAGAATTTTAATATTTATTTTTTAGTTCTCGGCGGACACAACAACTTTGTTGGTATGTGGTGCTGAGGATCGAACCCGGGACGCACGCATGCCAGGCGAGCGCGCTACCGCTTGAGCCACATCCCCAGCCCCGACCATTTGTATGTGTAGAAAGGTAGCAGGTGGCTTAGAGTCTCCTGAGGGCTCAGCTGAGATTAAACTATAATGGAGTGGGGATAAGAGCCCAGAAGTCACAGGAAAAGATAAGGACAGCAGAATCCAAGCTGTTCTTACCAGTTAGGGTTCAAGGTAATTCAAGTCAGGGACAAAAATTTAGATGGAAGGTTTGGGGGCAGCCTCTAAAAGATCCTGAACTGCCTGGTGCACCGGGATGTGCTGTGTTCTCAGGAGGTCAGCTTTGTGGGGAGCAGTGGACCTCTGCTTGCCAAGCTTCATACTTCTTTGCAAACTTCTTTACCATGATGAGAGGCAGCATATATTGAGTTCCTGTAGTACACATTGATGGTTCTAAGGCTTCTCCATGCCATGAGGTAGGTATGAGAGGGTAACTTCCCCAAGGACACACAGATGGAACTTGGCAGAGCAGTGTTTGACTCTTAAGACCCCAGCCTTGGTGACCTCAAGGGAGGTAGACAGGTTGTTCTGCCCCCAAACACAGCACCAAGGGACCAGGATCCCTGTGGGGATCCTAATTCTGAGTGTGCCTTAAAAAATATTGAGGGCTGAGTTGTAGCTCAGTGGTAGAGTACTTGTCTATCATGTGTGAGGCACTAGGTTTGATTCTTAGCACCACATATAAATATTAAATAAAGGTCCATCAACAACTAAAGTATTCTAAAAAATTATTGAGAGATAATTCACATAAAATTCACCCTTTTAAAGTAAATAATTCAATGTTTCTTTATTCACAAAATTGTGCAATCATCGCCACTAATTCTAGAATACTTTCATCTACGTATGTTTTTTCAAGAGTCCATTAGCCATACAGCAGAGCATGGCTTTATCAGCCATTAGTTCAAGTTCTCATTACACCTGGAGGCAAGAACGTGGAATTTGAAAATAGTACTCCCTGAGGCAGTCTCTTTCCCTTTTCATTCCAATTTGCTACATAAATAATCGGATAAAATGCCAAATGGGCTCACTTATCAGGCACCAAACACAGGCCTCCTAAGATGAAGAGAGACATATTAGGTGAAACTATGATTTTAAATGCTTTGAGATGCCAGGAACCATGGCATACACCTGTAATTGCAACAACTTGGGAGGCTGAGGCAGGAAGATTGCAAGTTCAAGGCCAGCCTGGGCAACTTATAGAGACCCTCAGTAACTTAGCCAGACCTTGTCTCCAAAAGAGAAGGGGTTTGGGGATGTAACTCAGTGATAAAGCACCCTGGGTCCAGTCCCTCTCCTCACCTCCCCAAAAGAGAAAAGAAATATCCTGAGCCTTTAGAGACATGGCATTTTAAATTTTTATTTAAGCCACTAAATTTTGGGCTTATTGTTTTTATACAACAATAGGTAATAAAAACCTAATATTTAAGATAAATTGTTACTAATACTTTCCAAGCAAACTCTTAATTTGGGGGGGGGTTAGGGGGTATGGGGGATTGAACTCAGGGACACTCAACCACTGAGTCACATCCCCAGCCCTATTTTGTATTTTATTTTTATTTTTTTAATATGTATTTTTTAGTTTTACGTGCACACAGTATCTTTATTTTACATTTATATGGTGCTGAAGATCGAACCCAGTGCTTTGTGTATGCTAGGCGAGCCACAACCCCAACCCCTATTTTGTATTTTATTTAGAGACAAGTTCTCTCACTGAGTTGCTTAGTGCCTTGCTGTTGCTGAGGCTGGCTTTGAACTTGAGATCCTCCTGCCTCAGCCTCCTGAATCGCTTGGATTACAGGGCTGCACTACCATGCCTGGCTTAATTCTCAATGGAAATAGAAATATTAGAGTTCAAGTAAATTCTTTTTCCTTTATAAGAAAACAAATTCCAGCCAGGCTATGTGGTGTATGGCTGGCATCCCAGCAATTCAGGAGGTCTATACAGGAGGACCCCAAGTTTAAGGCCACCCTTAGCAACTTAGCTGTCTCAAAACAAAAAATAAAAAGGGCTGGGGATGAAGCTCAAAGGTAAAGTATAGTGTAGTTAAGTAGTAGACCATATGCTTACCATGCATGACACCCTGGGCTTGATCTTCAGAAACCCCCCTCCCCCCCAAAAAAAAAAAAAAAAAAAGAAGCCAGCGCTTTCCAGTGTTCTGAGTAAGGACTGAAGTCTTGCTGAAATTCAGCATGGCACAATGGAAGAACACCAGACCAGAAGTCAGGAAAAATCCTACCAGCTTGGAACTTGGCAGTGGCACGACAAGCTAAAAGCCAGGTGGGAGAGCTATGTACCCTGTGTGGGCAATGGGGCAGTGCATTGTAAGTGGAGAATCTTTTTGTATTAGAGCTTTATAGTTATTCATAGTAGTTGGGTTCATCACAACAAACTCATTCATGAATGGAAATCTGTTTCAGTTCATGACTGCCCCCTTTATCCTCATGTTTTTCCCACGTATCCTCCCTCCCCTCTCCCGTTCTCCTTCCTCTACTTGACTTCCTTTCACTCATGTATTAATTTATATTTGATTGGTTCTTTATATTATCCTATCCTTCTCCCTCTTTATTTTACTCTTAACTTCTTCATATGAGAGAAAACATTCAACCTTTGAGTCTGAGTTTGGCTTATTTCACTTAGCATGATACTCTCCATTTCCATCCATTTACTGACAAATGCCATAATTTCATTTTTTTTATGGCTGAGTAGAACTCCTGTGGGGTGTGTGTGTGTGTGTGTGTGTGTGTGTGTGTGTGTGTAAAAATAATTTTTTAATCTATTCATCTATTGATGGGCATCTGGGTTGATTTCATAATTTAACTATTGTGACTTGTGTTGCTATAAACATTGAGGTGGCTGTATTGCTATAGTATGCCAATTTTATACCTTTGAGGGAAATACCAAGGAGTTGAATAGCTGGGTCATATGGTAGTTCTGTTAAGAGACAGACAGATGAGGGTGGTGGGAACACAAGGTTACAAGAATCATTCTATCAATGGGCCTACTGTGCTGACCTCCACATGCTTTCTTTGCCAAAAAGCAATTTACCTACAGCCCTGCCTGGCCTAAGTAGACAGGATATGTCACATTCCTTAGCAAACTACCTGCAAGGAAATGCAGGCAGGAAACAACTTTGATAAGAGGAACCCAAATTACTTTGAAGGAAGAGACTTTTGTGACTCTTTTCACAGACCAGATCCCAGAAGGTAAGAATAATTCCTCCTAATCATAAAACCTGTGAAAATGATTAAGAATCCAATTAGAACCACTCGGCATGGG